GTCCTGCGCCTAGGAGAGACTTGGATTCCATTGGGAAGTGCGTGAGGATGTGCTTTTCTAGCCACAGTAAAAGAAAATGTATGTTTGCTGGATCATCCTCTTGCCCAAGGGACTGTTAGGGACCGCTGTATCTATATCTGAATCTGAGGAAGAATTCAAGAAAATCGGTATATAAAGGGATCTTGTAGCACCTTTGAGAGTAACTGAAAGAAAGAACCGGGTAGCATGAGCTTTCATAGACTTCACCCTGTTTCTTCAGATGCATGTCTTGCATGTCTCCAAAACTTGCATCTAAAAGAGTAGGCTGACGCCTACGAACGGTGCTACAAGATCCCTTTGCATATATATATATATCTGAGGAAGTAGGCTGAAGTCTACAAAAGCTCCTGCTACCAACTTCTTTCTTTCAGGCAGTCTGAAATGTGCTACATACAAGATCCTTTTGCATACACATACATTTATATCTAGACACAGCGTGATGTAGTGGTCTGAGCCTCGGACTATGACTTTGGAGACCAGGTTTCGAATCCCCGCTCGGCCATAGAAACCCACTAGGTGACCTTGGGCAAGTCACACTCTCTCAGCCTCAGAGGATAGCAATGGCAAACCCTTTCTGAAGAAACTTGCCAAGAAAGCCCTATGATAGATTCTCCTTAGGGTTGCTACAAGTCGGAAACGACTTGAAGGCACACAGCAACAACAACAGTCTATATGGGCCTGAATAGACTGCCAGAAATAATCCAGCTTGAGACCACTTTATCTGTCCTGGCTCAGTGCTAGGGAATCATGGGAATTGTAGTTGATGTTTTGTTTTGTTTTTCTGAGACATTGAGCCTTCTCTGTCAGAGAACTTTGGTGCCACAATAAACTACAGTTCCCATTATTCCCTAGCACTGAGCCAGGACAGTTAAAGTGGTCTCAAGACGGATTATTTCTGACAGTCTGTTCAGGCCCTAAATCTCTATAGATATACAGTCGTTGAAGATGTCATGCCAGTCATGCCACACACCTATGAGGCGCTCCAGTAAAAAAGAAAACAATCTGACTAGCGCTTGAAGCCTCATTGATAGGGCTTTGCTCTATTCCAATCCTCTTTAAAATAATAATATTTTTTATTGTTTCAAAAGAAGGTCATCGCAGGCTAGATTGCAGGTTTCCAAGGAGGGTTGCAGACTGCCAGAAATAGTGCAAATTGAGTCCACCTTTAGGATTAGGGTTAGGGAATCATGGGAACTGTATTTTATTGTGGCACCAGAGCTCTCTGACAGAGAAGGCTCAATGTCTCAGAAAACAAACAATTCCCATGGTTTCCTAGCACTAACCCTAACCCTAAAAGTGGACTCAATTTGCACTATTTCTGGCAGTCTGCAACCCCCCCAAGTCTCCTCCTGCACCCGCGTGTCTTGCAAATAAAGAAGGAGGCTGTGACTAGTCCATTGGCTCCAAGTCACCCTCGTCCAGACTTTTTGGGTCCAGGATTGGTCTAAAAGGCGCATAAAGGGCAATCTGTAGCCGGCATTACCCCTCTCTTCTTGCAATAGCCTCTCTGCAAAGCTCCCAGCCCTGGCACAAACTGAGAGGCTTCTCTGCTTGAGCAAAGGCTCCTTCTTTCTTACACCAGTTTCACTGGGCTCAGGTATTATGGAGATGCCCTGTTCGCTCCCGTGTGAATGCAGGACTGGGTTTGCAAGCGTGTTTTTCAGGGCGATGAAAGGAGGGAGACCAACTTGTCTGTTGTTGCTTTTATAAACGGCTTCACTCCATCTCTCCTGAACAAATGAGGTTATGTAGAAATTCCTTTCTAAAGCCAATTTGATCCTTTTTTTTAAAAAAAAAAAACACTACTGTTTCTCATAATATTAAACCAACATGCAAGTACAAATCATTAATATGCCTGCCTCCAACACAACCTGTTCTTTGGAAAACACTATTTAATCAGACTGCAAGTTTTGACAAATGTTCCATTGGGATGTTCACTAAAATTATGTTCACGGTTGGGGAGAAGAGGTCCTAGTTTTTTAAAACTGTAATCTCGCTAAACTTTCTGTTTGTTCGAGTCAAGAAACAAACCTCTTTTTTAAAAAAAGAAAGAAGACGACAACTGCGATTTCCTCTCTTTCTCTTTTGTTGTGTTCTTTTGTCTGCTTGTTTTATTTAATCGGGCGTTGTCATTGGCTTCAGGGAGGAAAGTTTGACATTTTTCCAAAGACAGTTTCAGAAGTGGGGAAAGAAGAGCTCTTTCTCATTTCTAAATGCCCAAACCTTTAAAAAAAAACATGTCAACTTTGATTTGGAAATAGAACTAGGAAAGGATTTTATGGTTTGGTAAGGCTGATACAAACACGGAGTATATTTTGCACCGGTTCTTCCAAAGACTGGTCGTAGAAATGGTTTTAGGATTAGGAGTTAAAATTTATTGAATAAGATCGGACAAGGTCCCAGGGAGAAAGGAAGAAAAGTAATAGAGGAGAAGGTGAGCAAAACTTCTTTTAAATGAATAAGAAGCTTTTTAATGTGTAACAATTATTATTATTATTATTTGCTGTGGAGTTGACTATGATGACCCCAAAATGGAAGACTTTCGTTTACCAATGGAATGGTTTCTTCAACTGAGGTTGGATCCGCACTGCAGAAATAATCCGGTTCGACATCGCATTAGCTGCCTTGGCTCAAGGCTATGGAATTCTGGAAATTGTAGCTCCGCTCCGCTCTGGGGCTACAACAAGCTACAATTCCCAGAATTCCATAGCCTTGAGCCAGGGCAGTTAAAACCGTGTCGAACCGGACTATTTCTGCAGTGCGGATCCAACCAGAGTCTAATAATAATAATAATAATAATAACAACAATAATAATAATAATAGGTCGATCATTTACAACGTTTTGAAATGCTCAGATATTAGACGACGGCAGTGTCAGTCCAGTGTGAAGATAAAGTTACTTTCAGGGACGTCCTCTTCAAAAATCAAAATCAGCGCAAAAAGTTTTGTGTTGTTTTTTTCTTCTTTAAAGTTCAAGGCTGGAACAAAACGATCCGGATCACTGAGGCTGGGCTCTTTTGAAAGCAAGAAAGGATGGCGATTTGGCAAAGGAACAAGTATTTCCTCTACCTGGAGATTGTGAGAAACACAGAAACAGCAGGGAAAACAGATGGATTACTATTCCTGTGTTTTCCTGGCATTAAGGCATTCCCAGTTTAAGTCCAGTATACCCGAATAACACGCCTTCTGATCTCTGGAGGTCTCTGATGGACTTAGGGCAGGATGGTGGAGTGGTTTGACCAGGGATCCTCCTTTTCCAGGACCCGTCCTACATTTCCGCCTTCTGCCCAGGAAGAATTCCAAAAGGTTCTCCATTTTGAGCACGACTCAGAAGCATGGGTATTTATTTATTTATTTATTTATTTATTTATTTATTTATATGAGCATACATTTATTTATGTATATTTATTTATGTATATGTAATAATAATAATAATAATAATAATAATAATTATTTTTATTTATAACCCGCCCCTCTGCGTGGCAATCGGGGCGGGGAACAACAAGTTTAGAAACAAACAAAGTTAAAAATCAGTCCCTCATCCCACAATCCCACCCTCCCATTCCCTTAAAAAAGAATTAAACACAATCAAAATTAAAAATGCCACATTAATTAAAAACAGATAAGAACATGGAATGAAATCAGGGCAACAGATTAAAACACATCTTCCAGCTGAAAGTTATATGTATATGTATATGTATATGTATATGTATATGTATATGTATATGTATATGTATATGTATATGTATATGTATAAATAAATTTATTTATTTATGGTCATGTCCTGCATTTGTCTTGTTGAGTGTCCCACATTTGGCCGGTGCCTTGTCCTCCTTTTGCGGTTAAGACATCTGGTCAGGTGCAGGATTGGTTCAGTGTTTTATATTTATATTTATATTCGGAGGACAATAATACATTTCCATTGTACTATAAGAAGGACTAGGAGAGAGAGAGAGAGAGAGAGAGAGAGAGCGTGGTTTGAGTATGTGGGACTACAACGGTGCAAAACACACAACAGAAATAATCCAGTCTGAAACCGCTTTAATTGCCCTGGCTCAATGCTAGGGAATTCTGGGAACTGTCGTTTTGAGAGACATGGAGCCTTCTCTGTCAGAGAGAGCTCTGGTGCCACAACAAACTACAGTTCCCAAGATTCCCTGGCACTGAGCCAGGACAATTACAGCGGTCTCAAACTGGATTATTTATGCAGTGCGTTTTGAACCAACGATTTTGGGGACCAGGATTCATTTCCCAGCTCGGCCATGGGAACTCACTGGGGTGACCTTGGGTGAGTCACACTCTCTCAGCCTCAGAGGATGGCAATGACAACCCCCCCTCTGAAGAAACTTGACCTCTACATCCACCAAAATATTCCTGATGCAAACATATGGAGACTTCTTGAGGACTCCACTGTCGTTGCCACAAAGAGTCCTGTGGCCTCAGTGGACTGGAGACATATTGGCTGGCAAAAGAGGGCTCCCTGTTGAGA